GATCTGATGGGCACACCACCAGGGCCCCCACTTGGTGCCCAGGGCAGCACATGATGTCAGATCTTACCACTCTGGGCTTCTTGCATATGGCCCAGCAGTGTTCTTATTGTCTGGGAGGGCAGGGACAGGGTGGAGAGGGGCTTTAGCATATCCTACTTGGAGAGCCTGTGGCTGACCGAGTTTCACAAGAAGGGCCTCATGCTGGACTCTGCAGCTCACAAATCATCTTTGTCAATTATGAGACCATGTGAGGTGCTAACAACCTGACACCCCAAACTTACCTGTTTCTTTAAATTTTTAATTTTTTTTTTTAGAGATGAGGTCTCACTCTGACACCCAGGACAGAGTGCAGCGGTGTGATCATGGCACACTGCATCCTCAACCTTCTGGGCTCAAGCGATCATCCCACTTCAGCCTCCCAAGCAGCTGGGACCACAGGCACACACCACCATGCCAAGCTACTTTTCTTATTTTTCGCAGAGATGGGGTTTCACTATGTCGCCCAAGCTAGTCTCAAACTCCTGACCTTAAGTGATCCTCCAGCCTCTGCCTCCCAAAATGCTGGGATTAGAGGTATGAGCCACTGCACCTGGCCTCAAACTTACCAATTGACTTTAACCAGCTGAAGGCATTTCGATGTCTCGGCAATGTAAGAGAGCATACAGAAGTACATCTAAGGAACCAAGCCACAGGAAGCCTCTTGCTCTGCATGGAGAATGAGAGAAGTGATAAAGAGGGGAAACCTAGTATCTCCTTCAGGTACCTCCTTCCTCTATCAACATCCTCCTTTCTTGTCTACTTACTGGTATAGCTTACTATTATAACTATTCTTTTCTGCACACTGTTTTCCAATATACACACATCAGAGAGCTGCAGTCTTTGAATGCTCCACTCTATACCTGCATTAACCAACACAGATGGAGCCAATGTTCAGTGAATCATGTTTTGCTTTAGTCCTATCATTTTAATATTCACAATGGCCAAATCTCATTAAAATGTTACCATAGCCCCAAATTTAAGCCAAATGGACACAATTCCAAAGCTCTTATCCTACAAATCTAAGCCTTTTGTGGGAGCAAACATGTATGTCAGCAAAAATTAAGGGAAAGGGAGAGGTGGATGGCAGCTGCTGGAGAGCACATGAACATCATTTTCAAGTGCCCAGGATTGCCATTGGCCCTATCGATTGGATAATGACAAGGAGAGCTGGTTCGATTCCAAAAAGAGAAACCCTGCAGAGGACGCAAAAGGAGTACTTAATTTTTATGAACCTGTTGGCTGGAACTCCATATTAATATTTCACAATGTCAGTCTTGTCTTCTTTTTTATTTTATACTCAAATGAAGAGCAATGCCTAGCTCCTGAGCGTAATCTCAGTAGGACTATGTGGTGTGTCCACATACTGCCCCACGCCCCTGACCACTGTAGTTAATGACCACACATACAGCCATTGTAGAATAGTCTTCTGGTTTTGTTAAACAGTTACGAGTTGAATTTGGAGAATATGTAATCATTTCAAGACTTTTTTAAAAAATCATCCTACTGCTAAGTAGCAGCCCTCTCTTTTTCGGGAAACAGCATGTGGTGGGGGTCTAACTTAGGGGCCATAAATAAATCTGGACAATAACCCTACATAAAGCAATCTTGTTATTTCCCCCTCTAAGCTTCCACACCACCTCCAGTTTCTCTGTTGAGCTTATGATTTGGTTGCTAGATCAGCCAGAAGGTGAATGGTTTCTTAAGTGGGTGAGATAGAGTGGTTGCAAAATGTGTATCTTGCTTCAACTCAGCAAATGGTGCCCCAGCTGTCAAGGGCACACAGCATATTGAAGGCTGAGATTCAAGAAGGAGCATAAGATGAATTGTATTGTCAAGTACAGTAGTAAATGGCTGAAGCTGCCCAGCAGCTCCTTCCCCAACCCGTTTTCTTCTTAAAATGAATCTATTCCATTGGCAGGCACTAGACTGAGGTGTCCTCATAAAATCATGGAGTATTAACGAGGCATTTGGACCATCCCTTACTCTTTAGAGATGAGGGATTTGATGATGTCCAGAGTATGAACTGCGGTGTTTTTTGTTTGTTTTGCTTTGGGGAGAGGAGAGACAAAGTGAAGAGGATCCTAGTCTAGGCAATGAAATAGTGCTAACAGTTTCCAAGAAAATGGCTAACTGAATCATGAATGCACAATAAAAACAGTTTTTATAGTGCAGGAGAGGAAAAGAATTAACCTGACAGTCCTCACCTATGAAGAAATGCATGACATGGAAATAACTTGGACCAGTTCCTCAACAATGCCAATGATCTTACTTTTGTCATAAATCAATGTGTCCAGGTTAGGGACAGTGTCTGATGGCTTCCATTCTACCTAAAAACTTGTAGTCTTAGTTTATCTTGAATCATTAATTCATGCAATCATTAATTCAATGAACATATAATGATTACCTATTGTGTGATAGGGTCTGGGGGGAAAATGGCAAGTAAAACATTTTATCTACCTTCAGAATCTTCCAGACAGGCAAACAATTTTTTTTAATATGAAAGACTCAAACAAATTTATTACAGCAAGGCACTTGTGGCTTCCACATGTAGCCCAGTTTCTACTTCCATGTTTGGTAAAAGCTGGCAGCCATAGAGTCACATAAAATTATTATAAATGGTAGACATTTATTTTCAGACATTAAATGATGGGAAGTAGTAGTAAAGATTTGTCATGTCGCATTTTATGTGTGCAAAGTGCTTTATAGTCATATTTTATGGCTTGTTCTACGTAATAGTCATATGTGAGATGGGCTGGAACAGGCTCTATTTTAGAGTAAGGAAGTGACAGCAGTCCCATGTATATCAGTATCCTCTTTAAATACTATTTGTCTTGGGCTTTGAATAAAGATCATCACTTTTTAAAAGTTTCTTGGAATTTGCATTCTGCATGTTTATATTTGGTTCATCCAGTCTTTTTACAATGGCTCAGAGTCCAAACTCAAATTCTGAATAGTGCAGGTCACATCTGAGTGCAACTGCCAAGATGAGCCATGGCAAACATGACCCAACCCTTTTAGCCTCCGTCATGATCAATAGCTGCTTCCACAGTTCTACCGGAATTCCATTTCCTCACTTATCCTCCAAGGTCAGAGAAAGCATCGCTCTGGTTTCCACCCACTTTTCCTTCCAAGAAAGTGATTTTTGTGGTGGCCCTTGTTTGCCTTTCTCCACCCACCCTTTCTGTCCAAGTTTCTTGGGAATTGTAGCCATAATGGAGCCACCATAGACCAGCTTCAGCAAAGAATGATGAGCACTCCCGTACTGCTTTCTTCTGACAACCTGCAGCTGGAGTGGAATTTGGGAGCGGCAGGAGTGAAAATCTTGTAAAACCTCACTCTTTTGTTTCCTCTTTCCATTCTTTCAAGGGATATTGTAGTTACCCTGGGAGTAAATTTGTGGTCCAGAAGGACTAGCCCCTGTCCAGAAGCACAGTCTCATAGGTTATCCAGAAAGGCCAATGGGCAATTGCCAATCAAATCTTCTGGTGCTATGACAGATTTATGGGGCAGAAGGGACACAGACCCTTGCCTCAGGGCTTCCCAGAGGAAGCAGCCTCAGGACTTTGGAGTTAGATTGGAAATGCCAGTGCATCTTTTGCTTGGGAGGGACTTTGAGTCTAGGAGCCAAGGAAGGCCAAGAGGGTGGCCCAGGGGAGAATAGAATGGAGAGTAGGCTGCTTGACATTGTCTTTAAGTTCTAGACAAGAAAGGGAGGGAGAGAAGAAGGCTTCCTTCTGCCTTGCTATGACCCAAGCATAAGTTTCTCTTCCAAGACCATTCTAGTTAATGACTACTCAGCATATTTAGGGACAAGGGGTGTGTTTGATTCACCCCTGCATCATCTGCATCATGACTCTTGACATATGACAAGCAGCTAGGCAGGGCTCAGACCCAGCCAAAATACCTTCTCTCACAAAGCCTAAAAGGACTGCATGAGCTCCTTTTAAAATAACTGCTGACAAATCCCACAACCAGTCTCAGTGCTGAAAGGTGAATGAACTCAGGAACGGGAGTCAGGAAACAGCTTTTTATTTAACATAGTGTGTGGTTTTAGCCACTCATTTGACTGACTTGGGCCTTACTGCCTCATTTAACTTATAGGATTAATAATACCTGCCCTACTTACTCAACAAGTTTCTTGGGAGGATAAGATCACATAACAAATATGAAAAGTTCAAGGTATATAAAAATAAAGCCCATGACTGTGTCCCATGTTGTTTTGATGTGTGTCTGGGCTTCTGCTTTGGAGTTGGGTATTCCTCTCATCCACCACTGAACATCCGGGTTGTCCTGTCTTTTACCCTCAACTGTCAGACATTGACACCTCTGCCCCCATTCACCATCTCATATAGCTTGGTCAATGACTGAGTCATATGGCCATGGCTGAGTCATTCTAAGCACTGACTCATGTCATCACTTAGCATCTTCAAAATATTAATATGGCCCCTTCACTTTAAAACCTATAAACCCATATTCCTCAAGTCTATTCTGGGTCCAACAGCAGTGGAGTGTGCCCCCTACAGTGGCTCAAAGAGGAAGCCATCGTCTCTGGACCCCATAGTCCTGGGTTAGCCCATTGTGTCTAACAGCAGCCTCCCACCTGGAGTATGTCTTCCTTATTCCTGAAGATAATCTTCTGGTGCACCTACCACAATGACTTGAGGCTGCTTCATCAAGAATGATGGAAACATTACTCCACTTCTGATACACTCTCTTATCCGTCCTTGGGGAGGGTTATGTCACCTGGCTCATTAACATAACCAGTATGGTTTTGACTGTGCCCTGACGAGGCACAGTTGTCTTGGGCTCCCAAAATTCATATGCTAAAGTCCTAACCTCTAGTACCTCAGAATATAATGGTATTTGGAGATAAGCTCTTTGTATTAGTCCATTCTAACACCACTACAAAGAACTACCTGAGACTGGGTGACTTATGGAGCAAAGAGATTTAATTGACTCACAGTTCAGCAGGCTGCACAGAACGCATGACTAGGGAGGCCTCAGGAAATGTACAGTCACAGTGGAAGGTGAAGGGAAAGCAGGTACATCTACCCATGGCAGAGCAGGAGAAAGACGAGAGAGAGAGAGAGAGAGAAAGAGAGAGAGAGAGAGAGAGAGAGAGAGAGAGAGACAGAGACAGAGACAGAGACAGAGAGAGAGAGAGAGAGAGAGAGAGAGAGACAGAGAGAGAGAGAGAGAGAGAGAGAGAGAGAGAAGTGGAGAGGCTCAATGCACTTTCAAACAACCATAGCTCATGAGAATTCTACCACAAGTTAGCACTAGGGGGATGGTGCTAAACCATTAGAAACCACCCCCATGATCCAATCACCTCCCACCAGGCCCCACCTCCAACACTGGGAATTACAATTCGATATGATATTTGGGTGATGACACATAACCAAACCATATCAGTCTTTGAAGAGTTAAGTTAAAATAATCTCTTTAAAGTGGGCCCTAATCCAATATGACTGGTGTTCTTTTAAGAAGAGGAGATTTGGTCACAGACATGTGTACATGCAGAATAAAGACCTTTCGAGGACACACTGAAAAGGTGGCCATCTGCAAGACAAGGAGAAAGTCTTCAGCAGAAACCAGTCCTGCGGACTCCTTGATCTTGGACTTCCAGCCTTTGGAATTGTAAGTAAATTTTTTGTTGTTGAAGCCACCCAGTCTGTGGAATTTTGTTGTACTAGCCCTAGCAAATTAATAAAGATCTTTTTAAGCACACATAAAAATATTAATCATCAGTGGGGTATGGTGGCTCACACTTCTAATCCCAGCACTTTGGGAGGCCAAGGTGGGTGGATCACCAGAGTTCAGGAGTTGGAGACCAGCCTGGCCAACATGGTGAAACCCTGTCTCTACTAAAAATACAAAAAGTTAGCCATGCCTGGTGGTGGGCGCTTATAATCCCAGCTACTTGGAAGGCTGAGGCACTAGAATCGCTTGAATCTGGGAGGTGGAGGTTGCAGTGAGTCAAGATCGCACCACTGCATTCCAGCCTGGGCAACAGAGAGAGACTATCTCAAAAAGAAAATACTAATCATGCCACAGACCAGCAGTCAGTTGCAATCTGGAAGTTGCAGTCTTAACCGGTAAGTAAATGTTGTGACCATCATTTGACCCTAGTGGGGGCTCTGGTGGAAAGTGTTTTTGGCTGTCATGGTTTGCTGGACAGCCTTATGGACCCACCAGAAGCCCTTAGAGGTAGATGACCAATAGTGTAGAAAACATAAGCCTTCATAACAAGAAGACAGCGGCAGCTCTCTGGGTGTTTACAGGATCTCTCAGATTAGAAGACACTATTTTTCCACTTTACAGAAAGGTGACAGATTCTGCAATGAATCTGTAGTAAATTTAGAATTGAATCATGGCTGGCATATTTTCCAACCACAGTACGCCCTAGCTGACCTTTGTTTCCTCTCCTTCCTCATCTGTACTTGCTTTTCAGCAGACAGCAAACTCTAAAGGGTATACATAAGTATAGTCTATAAACATTGAAAAGTGAGGGAAAATTTGAAGAGTAAACCAATATTTAACAATAGAAAAAAAAAAACTGCAAAAGCAACTTTACCCAGGTAGCCTTGGCAGCTGGGACAAAAACTAAAAGCTGAGCTGATTAATTATACCATATCTCTCCTTACAGCTCTGAAGCTGAATTAAAGAGAAGTAAAACCATAGTGAGCAGCCAAGAGGATGTCCCCAGGGGTCCAGATGACAGAATGAAGCATGCGTGTTGGGGAGATGATCAGAATGGGCACCTGGATCCATTTGGGGTCAAGGGCTCTGCTCTCCCTGAGATGGGAGCTCTGCAGGCTGTTCTCCCAGCTGTACAAGAAGCCTGTGTTCGCAGCCTGTCTCCATCCAGGGACTGCCCAATGCTGTCCTGACCAGCAGCCTCCATCGTCATGATCCTTTTTGTTCTCTTTCTTCTTCCATTTATCCACAAGCCTTACTGAGAGCCCACGTTATGCACAGCTGCCAAGAGTTCAAACCCCATCCTCCAAGGTTGGTGGTGTGGGAGAATTTCCACCTGGGTAAAGGCGACTGGACTCTGTGGATGCTGCTCTTGTTTCTGGAGATTCAGCTTCCCCAGCAGCTCCTCTCCTTGATTATGATTGCCATCTCCAGCCTTGACTTCCATATTTCTGGGGTCTCTCCTTCTGTGTTTACATGAACCACAGTCTGAAAACAGCTCCCAGAGTGACCCTAACTCAGATCCTGGTGCCCTCTTGTCTAAAATCTTTTCAGCACTTTCTCAAATCACTCAGGAGATTTCAAGACTCTACCCAGACTGACTCCCCTGTTCTCGGCTAGTCTCATCTTCTCTGATTCTCCCTCTTCTCTCTCTGGTATCAACATATTGGCAGCCTTTCTGATCTGGATGCTCCCTTACATCCCCTGGATGCTCCCAGCACGCCCTGCCTTGGGCCCTCTGCACTTGCTATTCGCTGCCTGAAATGTTAGCCAGTCAGCCATACGACCCACTCCCTCAATTCCTTTGAGTCTTTGCTCAAGCTCACATTCTCAGGGAGGCCTTTTCTGACCCCCAATGTTTAAAACCTCACCCCTTATCACAGATGGCCCCAATCCCCTTCCCTACTTTATTTTCCCTGTTATTCTCCTTACCATCTGACATACCACGTATTTATTTCTGCTTTGCCGCCCTCTACTAGAAGGTAAGCTCCAAGAGGGTAGGGAGATTTTCTGCTTTGTTGCACTGTCACTAGCACCCAGAACAGCACCTAGAGCATCGTGTCTGCTGCTTGTTGAATGAATGTGCTCGAAGTACAGCTAATGAATTGGAAAATGAACCTGCGATGGGGAGTAATTAAGAAAAAAGATTCATGTGCTCTTTCCTAAGTGACTCATTTGATCTTTAAAAACAGACATGTGCTGCATAATGACATTTTGGTCAACAACAGACTGCAGATATGATGGTGGTTCCTTAAGATTATAATGTGATATTTTTTACTGTATTTTTTCTATGTTTAGATTCACAAATACTTACCACTGTTTGCAATTGCCTACAGTAGTCAGTACAGTCACATGCTGTATGGGTTTGTAGCCATATAGCAACAAGCTTTATCATATAGCCTACCTGCGTAGCAGGCTACGCCATCTAGGTTTGTGCGCAAGTGCACTCCATGATGTTTGCACAGCAACATCACCTAATGTTGCATTTCTCTGAAGCAATGCATGACTGTATCTTAAGGTGACAATGAGTTTGTTGCCCTCTCCCTTCCGGGAATGGATAATTCCTACAGTACCTGTATTAGGCCCATTCTGTTCATCTCATCCTTCTTTCTCGGTTCTGATGACAAATGGTTTCCAGCTTATAGCTGTGGACGTGTGAAACACTTGCATGGCTTTCTGTAAGACGGTCCAAGTCAGTGAAGGTGAAATGTAAAGCCCACTACCTACCCACTCACCTCTCTCAGCCCCAATTACTGGTATGGTTTAACACATAGCTTTAATAATCTCTGCAGAAAAGGGTTTTTAGAAAATTACATTGTTTGTTTTTATTATTTTAGCAAAAAAAGATAAAATCTTGATATCTTTGAATTTACACTGCTTAAGGTTACCAAACAGAATGGGCAGTAGAATCCTATTTTTACAGTGTTTACATATATAAATGTACATGTGTATATATTCACATATTTTTATGTATTTTTGTATTTTATATGCTTATCTCTATATAGTTATATATTATAAAGAATTAAAGAATATGACGATAGGCTAATATTTGGGGAAGATGAAAATTATATAATTTTTATTCAACTGTTTTTTCCATAATAAGTACATATTATGTATATGATGTGAAGAATGCCAATCATTCTTCTTCTTTAAAAAAGAAAAAGAAAAGCCCTTGTTTTAACTGGGCACCTGCTAAAGGTCAGTTTTCTAGTATAGGGAAACAAGAAAATGATCCTTTTGAAGGTGACTATTATTTTTACTTTATGATTTAAGCTTTTATGTTGGACTCAAACTAAAAAAAAGCAAACTGAAATAGTAGTACAAGGCTCTCATGTTTCCACGTACACTGACCATGACCCAGAGCCTGAGGAGGGCTAACGTGGGCCTGATTAACTAATGACGCCAGGTTGCTGCATGACTTCCTTGAGAAGTTGTTCCTGGCTTCAAAACTAGCTGTGCAATCTTAGAAATCTTGTGACATTGGATCACGTGCCTTGGCACAGCCACATGTTCTTCCATGGCTTCCTCTCCTTCCTCCTCTGAGCAGACATCTATGTTTGCATCTGCTGTTCATCCTGCTCCTTCTTCTAACATGCCCCAGGATGTTCTTTAAGCCATATCCACTTATTCAAATCTCCAAAGTGATCAAATTCTTCAGAGCCAGGGCACAGCAGTCTCCTTCATCTGTTGCATACTCTTTAGTGTTCTGCCTTTTGTCTAAAAGGTCTTTGCTTTGTTTTGCTTTGTTCTCTGTGTTTGCGGCACTGGCTTAGATGATTATTGATGAAGTTGGCCATGGACACCATAATGTGCAGGGAACAGCTCTTCCCCAAGCAGTGCCTCCCTGGTGCTCTGAGCTGGCTGTCCTTAGCACTGGGAAGACAGATTCTTCCCTTTTGGGGTTGCCCAATCCTTATGGAAGACATCTTTCAGCATATGAATTTTCTGATTGTTATAATTTTTTTTTCTTTTTTGAGACAGAGTCTCGCTCTGTTGCCCAGGCTGGAATGCAGTGGCATGATCTCTGCTCACTGCAACCTCTGACACCCAGATTCAAGTGATTCTCCTGCCTCAGCCTCCTGAGTAGTTGGGGTTACAGCTGTGCACCACCAGGCCTGGCTAATTTTTCTATTTTAGTAGAGATGGGGTTTCACCATGTTGGCCAGGCTGGTCTTGAGCTCCTGACCTCAGGTGATCCACCCACCTCAGCCTCCCAAAGTGCTGGGATTACAGATATAAGCCACCAAGCTGGTCTGCTTGTAATAATTTAGAGAAGATAAATTCACTGTTTTGGTGCCCAGGCCCCATGATTATCTGGTCCCTACCTATCTTTCAAAACAAATCTACCATGAATAACCC